AGTCCAGAAACATGCTGAGGTTAATTGGTGATTGTAAATTGTCCGTAGGTGTGAATGTGAGTGTGCTTGGTTGTCTGTCTCTAAGTGTAGCCCTGTGATAGACTGGTTACCTGTCCAGGTGAACCTGCCTTCACCCTGAGTCAGCTGGGATAGACTCCAGCGGTATATAGATAAATGATGGATGGATGTAAAATTCTCTGCATTTAGCCTAAAATCTGAATAATGTTTCTGCCTACACTGACAAAGGGCTTCTACTGACCATCTGTTGCCATGAGGACAGAACTCTGGTCAATAACTTACTCATGTGCTTAAAGGACAAGAAGATTTTTACCACCAGCCGGACTGAATCCCAGTTGGCGCCTGCTGAACCGTTATTAACTCGTCCGGGCCTCAGGGCAGCGAAGCACGACTTCACGTGTTTCGTGACTTTTCATTAATCTGCGTTTGGCGTAAATGACTGACTTAACCTTTCGTGTGTTAATCCGTCCTGCACGATGCGCACAACAAAACACACACGCTTCAATTTTATTTTCAAATCGAGTCAATTGCACTTTCACGTGTGACTGATTCGAAGCGGTTTACAGTAATCGTTGTTTGTGTGATTCAGCCCGCCAGCCCTGCACCGCGCAGTAATGTTGTTGTCAGATTGTGAGGCTAGGCTAGCAGGCTTCTGTAAGCACCTCTTTTCTCAAAGAAAGCCATCAGGGCTCTGTGTTGCAGTGATGAGGTTTGCTCTGTTCTCCACTTCGCCTGCAGGAAGCTACTTTGTGCATCCATACTCATCACTCTGTCTTTGTGGGGAACGTACGGCGTACAAAGGAGCCTGCAGCATTCACATTTGTGTGTGTCTGTGTTTGTGAGCGTCTTTGTGCTACTTTCCCTGAACTTTTTGTACTTTTTTATCAATCTATTCACTGTTTACTTTCCCTGTTTGCATCTTCTCGTTGGTGCTAATCCGTGACCTCTCCGTAGAACACCAGATATTCAGGAAGCAGAATCTTCTAATGTCTGCGTTTTAGTGTCTGTAGATGTAATTAATTTCAACATTTTTAAAAAAGAAACTTGTTCTTACTGAAACTCGCATAAAGAGAAATGTTCAAAGCTCTCCACACCAAGAATTAATGGTACATAAGAAATGTATTCCTCTCTGGTGGAGAGTGTCCCTGGACGCTGTGAGAGCTGTAAGCAAGACAAAGAGTCTGTGAATACAAGTCCATCACACAAGATGAAGACTCATGAGGTCACTGAATTCACTGCCTTGGTTTAGATGTAGAAAATTATTGTGCCTTCACAATAATAATAAAAGATGTGTTTCACTAGCTCCAGGTTTGAAGTCTTTAACGGATAATCCTGGTAATATAATATAATATAACGCTGTGTTTCTGACTCATGCTAACTTTCTGCTTTCGATCTCTATTGTAGAGATTCGGGGAAATAAGGACGATGTGTGAACAGCTTTTGGAACATCAGGGCAAAAATGGCCAAAAGACTTTTCTCTACATAAATAACTTTAAACTTTTGCTTTCTAGTCGAGCTGATTGTGAACTACTTTGGTACTTTATCATCCTGATTTTAAAGACAGACACATTCGGATACGTGTAAACCTGACTTTAACTGGTTTATGTTTGCAACTTGATCGTTTATGCTGCTGGGTTTCTTTCCCAGGATGCTGTTTGTAACAACAAAAACCAAACTATCAGGGTAAACTGACAGGTGTCCATGCTGGGCCAAAATAACACATCACATACTCGTCTGCACATGTGAAGCTGAATTTTAACTTAACACCTAAATGCAACCACAGATTGCTCCATGAGCCTTTATGAGAAGAATTAGTTATTTTAGTTTGATGGTCATATGAGTTGTGTCAGAGAAGTTCCAGGACTGGTGTCACAGAAGATGTATTTCAAACCCAAACTACAAACTACCAGTTTTCCCTCCAGACCATCAACCAGCTCGTCTACAGAGATCCTGCAGCGTTTGCTTCGTTCAGAGAAGAGGCAGAGTTGTGTCAGGACCAGTGGAGGCTGCTTCACCATGACAACCTGCTCACAGCGCCCTGAGCATCCCACAGCTCCTGCTGAGAAGAACATCTCCGTGCTGGAGCAACCTCCCTACTCACCCCACCTGGCTCC